TGCACAGAGGTAAACAGCTCCTGCCTGTCAGTCAGTCTGGGCCCCAGCCACTGATCCATGTCCTCGACAGTCTGACAGTCAGGGCCTTTATTGGCTGTCAGTCGCTGGGCAGTGTTCACTAGGGGTTTATCGACGTGTTCACAGTGAACCTCCTGTCTGTCAGCCTGGGACAAATGTAGCCTCCACTGGGAACAGAAGAACCGCTCAGGTTGTCGGCACCAGTGGAACAGAAACGAATGGTACAGAAGAAATGAGGCTGTCTTACTGCTGCTTGTATTAGCTTAACTGCAGCGGTCTCCTAAGCGCCTCATAAAAATCTTAGAAGTAATTCTGAATTGTAGTTCCTAGATGTTATGGCACCCAATTCTAGGTGAGAGAGAAACGGTATTTCGATTTCCTGTGTGTCCTGCACATATGGTGAATTGACAATAAAATCCTTCAATCGATTTATTAGAGAAATTTGAAATGATTTAACTTCATATTAAATTCGGATAAAGTATTGTGTGTTGTGCTTCACACAGCTTTGTGTGTGTGTGTGTGTGTGTTTCAGGCCGTGTGGTCAGCGGCGAGTGTCAGGGTGAGATGATGGACTACAGGCGGATGCTGATGGAGGATTTCTCTCTGAGCCCTGAGATTGTGCTGCAGTGTCGCAGTGAGATCGAGGGTCATTGCTCTGGTCTGCACCGCAAAGGGCGAACGCTGCACTGCCTGATGAGGGTGGCCAGGGGGGACATGGGAGCAATCGACCCCAAATGTCAGAAGGCGGTAAATGAATGTTTCAGATTCTGTCTGTGGAATCCTGAATCTGATTTGTTTCATGTTATAGGAAAAAAACTACAATGTATTGAAATGGGGGGGCTCAGCAGCCAAAGATGTTCATTTCTTATAAATACTGGTTTTTATTTAATTTTTTAAAAACTTTTATTTAAATGAAAACGATTCTTTGTGGCAAACGCTGAATGTTTCCTGCCTGATTATTATTTGCTGTCTTTTACTCACTAAGACTGATGGAGACAGGAAATGCTTGGTCATGTTGCACGGCACAAAGTCATTTTGCTGCATGACTTCTGCTTTTGCAGAGACACCTCTGGGTGCTCGCTGAAAGGCTGAGCCTCTACATGCTGAGTAAGACCACGTCAGGCAAATTCCTAGAACCAGTGCCCAGACCCACCCTCAACCTGCCTCATCAAATGCTTTCCTACAACTCCCAGAATGCCTTTCTTCCAGCTGGCGTCTTCTGGAGTCCCATTTTGATTTATGTTTTTCCCCTCCTCAGCTCCAGACTCTGATCCAGGAAGTCGACCCTGGAGCTGACTACCGCATCGACCGAGCGCTTAATGAAGCCTGTGAGTCCGTCATCCAGACCGCCTGCAAACACATCCGCAACGGAGACCCCATGTGAGTCCTCCCCACACCCCCCTGTGCTCCTCGCTGACATTGTATTGCAATCACTGTTGATATAGTCACTTTAATGCAGTTCATTTCACGTTTCTGCTGCAGTGTAGCTTTGTATAGTCACTTTAATGCAGTTCATTTCATGTTTCTGCTGCAGTGTAGCTTTGCTTTCAGTTTTTACTCCTGGCCCAGGTGGAAAACTTGGTGTTTTGATTAAAGCAAAATGCAGTGCCTTACACAATTTAAAATCATGAATGTTCACTAGGATGCAACTTAATTGAAATTATAAAAACTTCTACGTTTAGTTGAACACTGCTTACTGGCGTCCAACCCAGACCGACCCACCTCTTAGGTTTTTGTTTCTTGTAATTCTGCATTGTTTTTATGTTATATACTCTGTGCAGTCCCTGGTAAGAATCCTCAGTTGTTGTCTTACCAAATGGTAACGTCTCCTCGGTGCATTTTTGCACAGTGTCTGTGTGGCCACGACACATCACACAGTTCATCTACGTGGCATTTGCACATCAGTAAATTTCAAAGAAAAGCTTGAACTTGGAATGTTTTCTATCCAGCCTGCATTTGTGTTCTGTTCTTCAGGATCCTGTCGTGTCTGATGGAGCATCTGTACACTGAGAAGATGGTGGAGGACTGTGAGCACAGGCTGCTGGAGCTGCAGTACTTCATCGCTCGAGACTGGAAGTTAGGCCTGCTGAAATTTATTCACTGACTAACACGGTTTGGATTGAAGGCCACGGTTATTCAGAAACTCATCATTTTAACCTGTTGGTGTCTTTTACTTGTTTTATTGCATTTGGTCTTTTACTTGTTGTATTGCATTTGAATTAGGGCTGGGCAAGTTAACGTGTTATTTTCACGTTAATGTAATACTTCATTAACGCCGACAATTATTTTATCGCGCATTAACGCAGTTTATTTTTATTATTGTTTTGAAAGTCCGTTGCTTACTAGCTCTGAATACACATACAAACCATGGGTCACAGGAGGGGCGGGATGTTGATCGGTACTGGCTTGAGATGGGCGTCATCACGCGTCTCAACCAATAAGAGCATTTGGGGTGGGTGTAAGACCGCTGCAGCACTCATGTGACCTTGAACTGAATAGAACTGGTGGGGACAGAAAAATGGAGAAAGGTAAAGGACTCTTACATGGACATTTTCAATTTTAAATCTCTTCCGCACGGTGGAGCTCCATCCATCCATCCATTTTCCTCCGCTTATCCGGAACCAGGTCGCAGGGGCAGCAGTCTAAGCAAAGATGCCCAGACTTCCCTCTCTCCAGACACTTCCTCCAGCTCCTCCGGGGGAATACCGAGGCGTTCCCAGGCCAGCCGAGAGACATAGTCCCTCCAGCGTGTCCTGGGTCTTCCCCGGGGCCTCCTCCCGGTGGGACATGCCCG